AGGAAAGACTGTAAATTAAATGCTGAATGGCGATTCATGCAGGGAAAGAACATATCAATATTCGCATATTCATTCAAAAACATGAAAATTCTTAATGGAGTACCCTCATTTTTTATTGAATTCCTAAAAAACAATATTTATAATGAATTTTAATAATTTTTTCGAATTTTTTTTAAGCTTTATTCTGACCGATTCACCGGATTCTCGATCCGGATCACCGATTTGCCGATCAAGGATCGGTTTTTTGGAAGCCCGATCCGGATCACCGATCCGTTTTCTAAACCATTGGATTTTTCTAATACGAAATTTTGGGAAGCAGTGTATACATATTTGGAAAAATGTATTCAAAATCAGATCATCGCAAATAAACCAACGGAAATGATAGCACTCAATGGATTTAGAGCAAAATGCCCCACCCCAATCTGGACCATCCATTCCAACAATATCCGATAGATCTAGGACAATGGGGAGTTTTTTAGAGCTGTAACCAAATCGACCCATGGGAGACTGATTTTAAAAGTTCTGATTTTGGGAAGAAGAAAAAAAAAGTATGGGGCGATTTGAAGTTTTCAATATCAGACCGCATAAATGGGTCGATCCGCTATTGGAGAGCGGATTGGCCAGAAATGGCAAAAATAAAAAATGAATAAAAAAGTGCAGATCAAACGGAAAAAATAAAAAAATGAATGAAATAAAAGATCGGGCCTATGTTTGCACAAAACTAAAATATAAAAAATAAAAATAAAAACACAAAAAAAGAGAGACCTTCAAGTAAATTTTCCAAATATTGGACCACACCATAATTGTGTTAAAAAGTCTCAATTTACTACGCAATATTTCCTACATGTCATAATTTTTGGGCTGAGTTTTTTTTTTTTATGTGAACAACTATTTTGGAACTTTTTAAAGTTTTAAACCGGCTTATTTACCAAAAAAAAATTGGTTTAGAAGTTCTAAACCGATCTCTCGGTCCAAAAAAAAAACACCCCCATTCAGAACTTAGACCTTAGAACATGGGTTATTTAAAAGAAATTCAAAAAAAAAAGTTAAAAAAATAAATTTATTAAAATACACCTAACTTTTCAACAATTTATTAGTTTACCCTTTTTCTGCTATTCCAATTCATGGTCATGTGTATTTTTGTGAGTATTTTAAAATCAAATATGGGTAGAGCAAAATAATTGACATCCTATGTATATTTTGACTCCCTAAAAAAACAAGAGACGAATGCAGAATATAAAATATCAGAGATATTTGCTTAATGCGGCAAAGAGATATTAGCGAAATTTTCCCTATAAATAAAACCCAAAATGAAAAGTCGATATTCTTTTCAGTTAAATATTTGAGAATAAAAATTACGAAAATAGCAAGCTCTGAAAATTTTCCAGGTTTACTTTACACAAAAATACAGAATGTGATATATACTTTAAACCAGTAATTTAAAAAACAGATCGGTACCCCAGATCGAGCACCTCAAAAACCCATCTGGATAGGTGAATCAGCAATCCGAATCGGGAATCGGCCGAATCGGTCCTATTAAGCCTTAAAAAAAATCCAAAACAATTATAAAAATTTATTATAAATGTTATTTTTTAATAATCCAATAAGAAATACGGGTATTACATTATTAACTTTTATTTTTAATCAATTTGTGAATAATTTAGATGATATTTTCCTGTATGAACTTATGTTAACCATTAAATTTACATCACATAAAAAAAAAAAACATAGAATTACCATGGATAAAGTATATAATCATACATAGACTACAATAAATAATGGATTAAATCGATAAAAAATGGCCACTAAAATCTCGAAATGGAAGAAAAACCTAATTCACTTAAAAAAAAAAAACCAAATTATTACAACCTAACTAACTATAATCCAAAATTATTACAACCTATCTAACTATAATTTTATATATTGCAATGAAAATTGTTGGTTTATATTTTATTATATAAATAATAGCAAATTTAAAATATTTTATAATATTATTTAATTTAAAATGTATTATTGACAACTGTAAGAAAAATAATACATTACAAGATTTATAATGTAAATAAATAAATAAATAAAATATTTGATTATCAATACATAACTTATTCGAATGCGCATCAATTTTCGAAATAATACTTCAAATTTTTTAAAATTTAATTTTTTAGAATTCTAGAATAAATTTAATGGAAGAGATTGTTTGTTAGAGACAGAGAAATATTTGAAATGTATATGAACCATATCTTAAAATTAATATTCTTAAATTTATGCTAAAGCTTACCATATTATAAAAATAAAAATAATAATTTGATCAGTTATTCCTAGTTTGTATTAAAAATATTTGTTGTATTAAGAAATATCTTTTATTTTTTGACAAGAAATACTTGTATTTTTTTTACGAGAAAATATGATATTTCTTGTATTACTTCTTCTTTTTTTTTGACAAGAAAAAAAAAGAAGATGTTATATTACCTTCTTTTTTTTTTGCTTGTTGTATTACTTTTTATTTTTTATTGTTTATTTTATCATATTATTTTCCTCATTTTAGTTTTTTTATTAAGACAAAAGTAAAAACCTATCTTTTTTTTTTATGAAGACAAATTTTAGTTTTTTTTTTAAGGCAAAAGTAAAAACCTATCTTCTTTTATATTTTGTGATATTATTTTTTTATACAAAATTTATGATATGATTTTTTAAAAAAACAGTTATGAAAACAAAAAGTGAATTTTGCACAATCACACATAAAACCACTGCTGCTAACCATGGCAACCCTTCGCGCGCTGCTGAAGATTTTTGTACAATAATTACCTATTTTGTATGAATTTTCAATATAATATCGCTTTGCGCAAGTCCCACATCGAAAAATTGGAGAAAGTCTACAAGGTATAAATACCTTTACAAAAGCTTTAATGCCAACATGATGGAGAGAAAGGGTAACCTGTAATGGTATCCTGTAATGGTATTTTGACAAAATTACCAAAATGTCTTCAGGTAAGGACTCGCTTGTGACTTACGATTCAAAATCGCCGATCCTAAAGGATGATCGGGAATTTTCATCCTAAAGGATGATCGGGCAATTCCCGGAGGATGATCTGGAATTTTTGTTCTAAAGGATGATCGGGCAATTCTCGATTTTGATTTATGACGCAAAATCACAAAATCGCAAAATCGTCCCAAAGGATGATCGGGCAATTCTCGGAATTTTCATCCTAAAGGATAATTGGGCAATTCCCGGTTTTGATTTACGACGCAAAATTGAAAAAATCGTCGATGATCGGGCAATTCCTGGTTTTGATTTATGACGCAAAATTGCCGATCCTAAACGATGATCGGGCAATTCCCGGTTTTGATTTATGACGCAAAATCGCCGATCCTAAAGGAAGATCGGGCAATTCCCGGTTTTGATTTATGACGCAAAATCGTCGATCCTAAACGATGATCGGGCAATTCCCAGTTTTGATTTATGACGCAAAATCGCCGATCCTAAAGGATGATCGGGCAATTCCAGGTTTTGATTGCTGTTGGAATCGCCGATTGCCGATCCTAAAGGATGATAGGGGGCCCGATCCTAAAGGATGATCAGCAATTCCAGGTTTTGATTGCGGTTGGAATCCCCGATCGCCGATCCTAAAGGATGATAGGGGGCAATTCACGATTCAAAATCGCCGATCCTAAAGGATGATCGGGCAATTCCCGATTTCGATTGCCGTTGGAATTGTGATTTATGACGGCGTTTCACGATTCAAAATCGCGCGATCCTAATGGATGATCGGGCAATTCCTGGTTTTGATTCACGATTCAAAATCGCCGATCCTAAAAGATGATCGGGCAATTCCCTGTTTTGATTCACGATTCAAAATGGCCGATCCTAAAGGATGATCGGGCAATTCCCAATTTTACAGATCGTGATTTATGACGCAATAGGGGGCAATTCACGATTCAAAATCGTCGATCCTAGAGGATGATCGGGTAATTCCCGGTTTTACAGATCGTGATTTATGACATAATAGGGGGCGATTCACGATTCAAAATCGCCGATTCTCCTCTAGGATAAGGCAATTCTCGATTTTTTCGAGAATTCCCGATTTTACAGATCATGTTTATGACGTAATAGGAGGCGAATCACGATTCAAAATCGTCGATTCTCCTCTAGGACCAGGCAATTCCAGGTTTTAAAGATCGTGATTTATGATGTAATAGGGGGCGATTCACGATTCAAAATCGCCGATTCTCCTCTAGGTTAGAGCAATTCCCGGTTTTGCAGAAGAATCGTCAATTCTCCTCTAGGATCGGGCGATTCCCGATTTTGTAGAAGAATCGTAAGCGGTTGGAATCGTGATTTATGACTTAATAATAAGGGGCGATCCACTAGTCAAAATCGTCGATTCTCGCCGATTTTCCTCTAAGATCAGGCACTTCTTGATTTTGCAGAAGAATCGCCGATTCTCTTATGGGATCAGGCGATTCCAGATTTTGAAGAAGAATGGTTTTGCAGAAGAATTGTCGATTCTCTTATAGGTTCGAACGATTCCCGGTTTTACAGAAGAATCGATACAGGGTGCCCGATTCCTGTGTTGACTCGGATTTTAAAATACTCCTTTAAACCAATAGAATACATCCTGAATTACTTCAACACCCGCAGTTGTTTGTTTATTTTCTATCGTCAAATCTTTTGACAAAATTTTACCAAAGCGTTTCTAATTTGGCCCAAAGAAAAACCAAACAAGTTCAAACCTGAGGAAACTAAAATAAAAGGAGTGGACACAAATTAAATCCATCTCCTCATATAATTAACAAAAAAAAAATCACAATCAACATAAATTAAGGGTCGCGATATCCTAACCAACACAGGGAATTGTGATTTATACAAAATTAGTGGAATGGTACAAAAAGACCAACCTCTGAGGGTTTCCCTCTTAATAGAATCATGAATGTCCAGAAAAGGATCATAACCTCTACAAAAACAACCACCTTTTTAGACTTGCCAAAAGAATACCAGATCACCACAAAACAAACGGAACCCAATGCAAGAATCCAAAAGAGAACTTGAAAAAAAAACTCTACTTAGACCAGATCCTCCAAGTCATCAAAAAACGGGTCTTTCAGGAGCTCCATGGCTGATGGTCTCTCGCGAGGTTTGGCCAAGCACTTCTCGATAAAAGCTTGAACTTCAGGGTCTTTCACCTTCCTCAAAGCCAAGGGCCTTATGCCATGGCTGACCCTCTTGTAAATCTTGGCCACACTGTCGCATTCATTGTAAGGGATTTCCATGGTGACCATCTCCAAAACACACATACCAAAGGAGTATATATCTACCATCTCTGTGTAGTCCTCTTCATAAAGCTCAGGTGCCATGAACTCCGGTGTACCAAGTATGGAGTGAGCAGTATGGTCTTGCCCAACAATGGCAGCAAGGCCAAGGTCTCCTATCTTCACCTGCGCATCCATTTCGGTGTTACACTGGAGCCAAAACCCATAAAAAGGGAAGAAAAAAAAAAGGACAAAACAGACAAGTAAGGTCAGCAATCATGGTCTTAATGTGTAGTGTTATTTACATAGGAATGACTGCCATGGAGATTTACAGAGATTGAAATTTCGGATATACGGAAACCTGCAAGAAAAAGGAACTGGAAAAAGCGATCCGTATCAAAGAGCATATTAAAAAGTCTAATCAAACCCATAGAGTATATTCACCCTTTGAAGCAAAGCCCTGGTTAGAGAATACAATCCAAGTTCCATGGATGTTGAAGCTTCAAAATTTCCCTTGCTAGGTTATAAGAACAGCCCTGGCAAGTCTTGATTCCCCTGTTTAGGAACCTTCCTAAGAGATCTGTCCAGCACCTTAGGAAGTGCTTATACGTCGTTGCAAAGCAACCTATAAAGGTTCTTGAGAGCAATGGTTTTGCTCACATTTAGGATACTACCAGAACTTTGTTTTGGTAACGAAATATATTAGCTCTCGATAAAGCATTCACTCTAGAAACAAGAAAATTTACCTCCATCCTTGTCACAAGAACCAGGGTCTGAAACTAATGGGAGAAACCCAATTGCCACTATATTTTCGACTGAAAATCCAAAAATTGTCAGTGCTGATCACTTGGCACTCCCTATCAACTTTAATCATTTTCGTAACAATTAAAGACAATAGTAGCTTAATAAACATGCTGTTAATTTCTGTTAAAGTGATCACCAAAAGATATCCACAGTATATGCTAACAGGAAGATTAGATACCAGTTTTAATTGGGATCCACAAAACAAGAGGATAAACTCTGCAGAAGGCATTAATCAGGCATATCAGTGATAGTCAATCACTAAATTTAATTTTGACATAAGAATAGAAAGATATCACATTATATAGAGAACGTAAACAGGGCGCGCAAAGTAGGACCACAGAAACTCAAGTAATCAGAAAAACAGTGTGCGATTAACTAAGGAACTCGGAAAGTAACAAAAGCGGTAACCAAACCCTAAAGAGAATTAATCTGAAAATAAAATATTAACATAATTCACAATTAATTGTGAAAACCAAGAAAATAACATGTGCCATACCTGCTAGCAAAACTAGCAATATAAAAAGAGAATAAGGTCAAACAATGAAAATTATTAAACAAAATAAGAGTAAAAGGTTAAGCAGGAAATGGAAAATTAATATCTATAGAGAGAGATTCAAAAGCCAAACTTTAAAAACCATGATCATAACAACCAATGTAAGAGTAGGCCAGTACTTGAAGAACAAATCAAATCACCAAAAAAACCAATAAACGATACATCTCAGATAAGCAAGTGATTCATGAGCCAAGTAAATAATCCAAAAAATAAGCCAACCAAGAGAACAAGAAATCCAGAAAATTACACGACCATGACAACAAGGAATCAAGAAAATAACACAATGACTAGACAGGAAATAAAAAAACTAACCTGACCAACATTGCCATTGATGAAAACATTGCCACAATTGAGATCCCTGTGAATGATGCAAGGCTCATGCTTATGCAAATACTCCAAACCCCTTAAAATTTGCCTTGCCCACTTCTTCAAAGCCATGAGAGACACATGCTTGTGCTTCTTCCTGTACTCCCTCAAGTTCCCAGAAATGCAGACCTCTGTAATGAAATTCAGGGTATTGTTCTCTCTACCCAACCATACAGCATAGAGAGCAATGATATTCTTATGCCTCAAAGACCTCAATAAATAGACCTCAGACTGAATCCTCTTCACCATTCGTTCATCACCAGAGAAATTCTGCAGGTCGACCTGGTTCCATGCAATTTCGATGCCTTCTTCTTGATCAAAACCCCTGTAAACTTTCTTCACCGCACCGGAGCCAAGAAGTTCATTGTAACGTCCGAATCTCCCTGATGGATCAGTCTCCACAAATGGCTCCGCGTCATTCTCCAGAGGATCAGACATTGAGCTAGGCATCTCTTTGATCGAGAAATATGACAGAGACGCGAGAGAAACCTTTGGTACCCGTACAGTCTCCAGCGTTCCTTAACCAACGAAATCTCTGAAATCAAACAGCAAGACAGAGAGAGAGAGAGAGAGACAGAGACAGAGAGAGAGAGAGGAGAACCACCAAAAACCCTAGGGTTTTTCAAACCCTAGAAAAGTAGCAGGAGAAAGAAGCATAAACTCAGAAACCCTAGGGCTCAAATAAACACTGAAGGGGAGCAAATAACAAGGAAGTAAGAGGTGAGAGCTTCTTGAACGTGCGCAGTTGCAGCCATGGATGATCTTACGGAATCATTCAAAGAAAACCTAAAAATTAATTAGGTTAGTAAAGAATCACATATTCTGGTTACTTGATCAATCAACAGATCGCAACCACTTAGGCTTGGCTTAAATGGGATTAGTAGCAGAAGTGAAAGGGTTAATATCCCTGCTCATTTAAGCGTATCATGGCTATTTAATTTTGAAAAAAAGTTCATATAGGGGTGAGGCTCTAATCAATCAAAATAGGCACAACTCAAAAATTCATGTTTCTTAATTTAATCATCTCAACTTCAAGATGTATCTCAACTTCAAGATGTATCGACATGAGAAAAAATAGATTTAAAGTCTTACAAGATGTATCGACATGAGAAAAAATAGATTTAAAGTCTTAAATGTAATGCATATTGTAATGTATTATCTAGACCATTAATTTTTACGATTTTCAAGTGTTCATAGATTTCCTTGGTCTATACTACTCTTTAATATTTAGACGATCATAAAAATTTATGATACTAAAACAATATATTTTGGTACTATTTGAAGTGGTGCCTTACTTTGATTGTTTGGGGCCTCAACCTTATACAAACCACACTTTTTTTTTGGTAAAAATTTATATAAGGATGCAACCTTATAATATATAACTACCGATGCACTTCAAAAATCCATTGGAAAAGGTAGTTATAATGTTGAAAAACCCTTTGATTGATCATCTCGACATCAAGATGTATGACCATGAAAAATAAAAAGATTTTAAGTCTCATAAATAGTGCATTTTACAACATATTATCTACACCGTCCATTTTCAAGATTTTCATATTTTTATATATCTACTTGATTTTAACCATTTTTAAAATTTAAAATTTTATAATTACATATAAAAATAGATTTTAAGATAACCCTAAGAACATTGTACATCAAAATTATATACCATGATAAAATTTGAAGGTGCACATTACCTCTATAGCTACGGATGCATCCGTATGTCAACTGAACCCATCATTTTTATATTTTATATAGGTGCACGATGCTGAAAAGTTTAGGTACCTAACATTTTAGCTCAATTCGAGGCATTAAAAAAAAAAAGAAAATGTTTAAGCATTGAATTCTTTCAACTGTCATTTTGTATTGATTTATAACTATATTTTTATAGGATTGTCTACAAAAAGATTATTTATCATTTATTTTTTATACATGGAGGTCATAAACAATCTCACTCATTACATATCAAATTAGATATTTTGGGATGAGTTGCACTTTAGAAAGAAGAAGATAGACCCACTAAAATTATAGGGAGTAAATTGTAGAGAGAGTCTCAAATATTTTTCCTAAAAACTTTGAAGTCGTAGCATCGTAGGAATATAGCTATCCCAAATGTCCCCTAAATCATTCTCTTTAAAGGGTGCAGTTTGTATAGAGCCTAGGCTCTAAACAATCAAATTAGACCTTACCTTCAAATAGTCTCGAGAAATGTGGTTTCAATATTGGAAATCTTTGTGATAGCCTTAAAATACATGTTCATTTTTATTTATAAAGTTTAAAGCTTTAAAAATAGTGCAGATTGACAGATCTATGAAAATTTGAAAATCTTAAAAATTAACAGTCCAAAAATGCATTACAAAATACACTATTTTCAAAACTTGAAATCCAGTTTTTTCTCATGTCCATGCATCTTGATGTCGAGATGATCAATTTGATGATATTTGGGCATCAAAACAACTTCTTCTAGTGAAATTTTTGAAATAGGCTCAAATTTGATTGTTTAGAGCCACGGCTCTATATAAACTTTTCCCCTCTTTAGTTACATCCTCTCTAAGCACAAGGACCATTTTTATTACTATGACATGTGTCCCACCTTGAACTATGGCTTACTATTGTAGTATAGACAAATGAAATTTTTGACATGTACATGCCCAACTCTATAGCTCAGGTATAAACCGCTTAACCTAAATCCAACCAGGGCTCATGTTAGGTCAAAGTCTTATCTGAACCCCAAAGGATTGGGTCCGAATAAGGATCTACTCCACCCATTTACAACCCAAGTTTGTGGATCAAAGATAAATGGTTGGCGAGAGAGAGAGAGAGAGAGAGAGGTGTTAGTGGTAGTTGTAGTAAGT